TCTGCTATTTGACATTTGTGTATAGGATGTGAGCATGTGTGTGTGTCCATGTGCACACATGTGTGTGCTAAGGAAATATAAAGTATGGAGAGCATCACATACACCCGGTTGTGAACTATAGTGGATGAGAGAAGAAATTTTTGCTGGATAAAAAGATTCAAGGGGGAAATCGGCTTCAAGAGGAAGACAGGAGAAAAAGACTGAGAGGCACAAAAGCACTGAGAGTCCCCTGGTTCAGCTCTTCAATAATCTGAAGCAGCTCTTCAGATTATTCAGGCAAATCAGTTGGGAGGGGAAGGGAAGAGAGGGAGGGAGTTGCTTGACAGATGTTTGGCATGTCAATTCTCCCAAGAAAGCCTTACAAAGCAGTTTCCTGAAGGCTGCCATCTACAGATTGCTGTTGAGGTCCAGCAAAGGTAGACTATGGGCCAGCACAATTTGCCGCTGCACACTTCTGGATTAAAGGAGGAGGGAAAGCACATTATCGTAGCCTTGTGGAAGAGGCCAGAAAAGCACAGATTTCAAACCCTGCGAGTTTTCTTTTCTCCTATGCGGGACATATTCACTGAGGCATCCAGTATTCCAGGTTTGTGGGTGCTGGAAAAAAAAACAGAAAGAAAAAAGACCTCAAAAGGAAGCCCAAACTGTGTAAACTGCTTTACATTTTTACTATTGTGTGATAAAATGGACTTTCCAGATAATACTGGGAAAGAATTTTCTCTTTTCAAAGAGCCCAGTGTTGTTGCTGTGCTGGCCTTTTTTTGTTTTTAAAAACTAAATTAACTTTTAAATTAAAGAGAATGTTCAAGCTCTTATAAAGCCTCCATGTAAGTATACATGGAATAAAATGTTGCTCAACTCTCTGAAAATATGTCCAAACATCCAACAAATGGAATATGTACAAACCTGTCCACTAAACTCTTTTCTAATCTCTTCCACCATTTTAGCTGCTGCTTTTTCGCTACTCAGATCATCTCCTCTTCCAGATTGCATGTCAACTTCTTATTATTTGGTCAGCTGAATAAAATTTTTTGCCAAATTCTTACAGCCTGATCCTTTGTGCCCTAAATGATAGTTTCCTCATCTTCAATCATGAAGTATGTGGAGGTAAATTGTGTTCATCCATGCCTACCTTTACTGCACCTTAGCAACAATCAGTAGATGGCAGACTTCAGAAGGCTTTTTAGGGAAGTTTCTCTCCTCCTCCTCCTCCTCCTCTTCCTCCTCCTCCTCCTCCTCCTCCTCCTCCTCCTCCTCTATGAAATTAAACAACTAGTATTCAGAAGAAAGGAAAAAATAGTGTACATCATAGGAAATCATATTTCCTTTTGCAATAAAATTATACATGTTGTCCTTTCTGACAATGCAGAACATAATTTCTCATTTAAATACTAGTCCCTTAAGAGAACACCTAATACTTCTACCGAGTTGATATAAATAGGTTTTATGTCTATGTCTATTCAGTGACTATATCTAGAAAGTCTATGTTCATAAATTGTACAACTGGAAATGAACGCCTTTCAATACCCCTCATTAATTATATGGAATAAAGCTTCAACAATGCTTAGAAACTGTCCACAGGAAACAGCTCTGCTTTCCACCCCCACAGATCCATCTACAGAACATTTCCTTGTCAAAGGTTTGTGTGGGCAGCTGTTGTATTTGGATTAATTTGATTTTCAAGTCTTTCATAAAAGCCGTCAGGCAAGGACAAAAAACAAACAAGGGCAAAACATCTTCAGCTATTCCTTGCATTAAAAAAAAAACTCTAAATGATAAGGAGATATTAGTAATGTACAAGGACAAAAGATAAAATGTAAAAAACCTACAGCACTGCTTCGGTGCTCTGAAAGCTTAATAGTGCAGCAATCAGATCACTTTAATATAGAAGGCTCTTGGTTGAGATGAGCTCATATTGTTTCTGCTTTCAAGATAAGAACTGAAGTTTCAAGGAAAACATTATAGTATAGCTGTTGTTTCTGTGCCTGGAAAAGGCTCTCTAGCCTGCATTTTATCCAACAGTTCTCAGATGGCTTAATCTTCAAATAATGTAGCTTGAAATAAATGTTAGAAGAAAGCAATGTTCATCATAAGCAATGGAAACCCAAAGGGCTCTAATTCATTATCATCATAAAACACATTTATAGGGCACCTCATATTTATTTGTCAATCTTGCCTCAGCTTGAACCTTTAAACAAGAATGATCCTTGACTCCATTTGTTGAGAAAGTGATAGTTTATTAAAGGTCAAGTGGATTATAGTAAAGCAAAGCCAGAACTGAATTTCGCCCACCAAAACTCTAGGTGTAACTTTCCTCCTCTTAGGCACCTTCCATTGCTAGTCCCACCCACCCCCATTGTCCAATCAATTTCAAAGAAGATTTTTTTTGTAACAGTCACTCTGAATGTAGGCTGTCTTGCAGCTGCATTCTCCTCCTAGGGAAGTGACCTTGAAGCGCTGTCTGGGAGAGGCATATTTATGTCTGTTACTTTCACTTTCCCCCCAAGCATTCCCTCTCCCCTTTACCCTCCCCCCCCAGGATTCATGACAGACTGGCACTGAATGATAGGAATACGCAGGCGTGGGGTTACAGTTCTGACACTTTTCTTCTATCTGTGAATTTCCTAACTTTCTTGCCAATCATAAGAAAGTTCTTTGTTCCTCCACTCTCAGATCAGTCATTTCCCTGCTACCTGCTTTTTTCTGATCACATGCTTGTGTATATACAGAGCCTTGATGCACACAACTTTTTTCCATTGTGGTGGGTCTCTCCCTCTCTATCCCTGTCTCTCTGTCTCTATCTGTCTCTGTCTCTGTCTCTATCTCTCTGTCACACACACACACACACACACACACACACACACATATGCACACACACACAGAGCAAGCGAGCAAGAGAGAAGCTTGAGAAATATTTTTCCTATACTCCAGCAATATGATTTATTAACAGTTTTTCTTGTTATAATAATAGCAGTTCACAAGCTTTCTTTCTGGCAAATAAGTCTATCACCTAGATCAGACATTTCAAACACAAGGCATGGGGGCCGGATGCAGCCCGCAAAGTGGTTTCATGTGGTCCGCGAAGCCATCCTGGAAGCAGTGAGGGAACGGCCCTCGCTGCCTTGGCCCTGGCCCAGGCCAGCTGGGAGCCAATGTACAATTTTGTGGTGGCCATCTTGGCACTTGCCCCAGTGGACCATGCCTTGGCATTTGCCCCAATCCCACCCCCTTCTGCCAGAGACCCTCAGATCTATACCACTCCTGCCCAGGCCCCCCTTGACGCGAATGGTGTAGAACTTGCAATGCCCATCCAGTAGGCCACACACACACCATCCACACCCACCCAGTAGGCTGCACCCACTCTGGCTACACCCACCCGGCCCCCCAAGGGCAACCGCAATGTTGATGCGGCCCTCAGTGAAATTGAGTTTGACACCCCTGACCTAAATGTAAGTCTCATTTATCCATATCAATATTTGCTATATTTATGTCTCTTACATAATCATTTTCTGTTTAAAAGCTCCTTAATATTTCTGGCCATTAAATTTATCAGTAACTGGAAAATAGAGTCAGATGGATTTGGTTACTTTCTTGAAGATTTTTTTTCCTCCAAAATGGTGCATTAGCATTAGTACGATAAGGGAATAGATAACTTCCAAACATCTCTTTTGTGGGAGGAGTTAAAAACTTTCAAAGTCAGTGCTGAAAGATGTGGGAGGGGAGGAGCCTAGATATTAGGATGGGGAATGGACCCACGACTTCAGAATTCTAAATGACAGAGGGTCTTTCCATAGCACATTTAATCCTTGAAAACATGTGTTTCTAAATTTTAAAATCATGCCACCAGTTCCCCAAAACTGGAGAAAATTATACGGCCAACCAATCACCACTTAGAGTCTGAATCAACAGGAGCTCTCCAGCAAGACTCTTATATCATCTTTCTTTCTCTTTCTTTCTTTCTTTCTTTCTTTCTTTCTTTCTTTCTTTCTTTCTTTCTTTCTTTCTTTCTTTCTTTTTCCTTCCTTCCTTCCTTCCTCTCTCTCTCTCTTTCTTTCTCTCTCTCTCTTTTTCTCTCTTTCTTTCCCCCTTTCTGTCTCTATCTCCCTCTCCATTCTCCTCTTCTTTCCACTTTATGTCCTTTTCTCTCCTCATTTCTTTCATGTATCATCTATCTTTTATTCTCCCTACAATCAACGGCTATACAAACAATTCAAATTTCTTTGGGAAGACCCATAGGTTAGTCTGCATGAGTTAAGCAACTGCAAGTCATTTTTTTAAAAACTTGAACTCTGGGACAATCTGCCTGATGATTTCCCCTTCCCCTTCTTTTATAATGAAAGTATTTTCTCTTGCATGAAAGAACTTTGAAATTTACTCCAGATTATATATTTTTGTGAAAATAGCTGGCACAGTGAAGAAATATATATATTTATATAAACTAGTATAAGAAATGTGCACTGGGGGATGCAGAGATGCAGCAAAAAAAAAAAGATGGAAAATCAATCATGCCAGCAAATCACTACCAGTGTGTACACTTTAATCCATCAATGGGAGATATATCTGTGATCATAAAAGCAGGTTAGAGTCAGCCTGAAAGCTTATAGGTGGGCGGGGGAGAGTGAGAGGGAGAGAGAGAGAGAGAGAGGGAGAGAGAGAGAGAGAGAGAGAGAGAGAGAGAGAGAGAGAGAGAGAGAGAGAGAGAGTGAGTGAGGGAGGGAGGGAGGGAGGGAATAAAAGAAAATAAATATACTTGCTGAATTGCTGAGAAGCATTAGGACCAATAATGAGAGATCTCAGAAGACCTGCTGCTCAGAGTATTCTGCTTTCTTTAGAAGAGTGCCTTGGTTCTGGATGATCCACACGGTTTGTTTTGTGTTTTTTTTTTTTTTTTTTAAATCACCCCCTTTGTAGTTTAATGGGCATTCCCATTGCTTTTTGTGCCTCTCTCTAAAAAGCATTGACGTGGAAAGAAGCAGCAGCAGGGGGTGGGGGGACTGCAGCTCTTCTAAAAATACGGAGGGCATGCAGGAGTGCGAGCAGGCTGGGGAGGAGGAGGAGGGTGTGAGAGTGCCTCACACCATGTTTTCTGGATGCCAGCTGGGTGCAGTTTTGGAAATGTTCCTCCTGTGAATGGAGGCATCATGAACATTTGGGAAGTGATCCTGGCTTTCTTGATTGTGGTGCTCATCCTTGTATCGTTGCTGTCCAATGTTTTGGTGCTGATCTGCTTTCTGTATAGTGCAGATATCCGCAAGCAAGTCCCGGGATTGTTTATCCTCAACCTGACCTTCTGCAACTTGTTGATGACTGTTTTGAACATGCCCCTCACTCTGGCTGGGATCATTTACAAGAAACCACCTGGAGGAGACCATCTTTGCCACATAGTGGGGTTTTTAGAGACTTTTTTGACTACCAACTCCATGCTGAGCATGGCAGCTCTCAGCATTGACCGGTGGATAGCAGTGGTATTTCCTCTGAACTACCATTCCAAGATGCGCTACAAAGATGCTGCCCTCATACTGAGCTACACGTGGTTACACTCAGTATCCTTCCCAATTGTGGCAACTTCTCTTTCTTGGGTAAGATTCCACCACCTTTATGCCTCTTGCACCCTGTGCAACAAGAGACTGGAAGACAGGACCCAGTTTATGATTTTCACAGGAATCTTTCATTCCTTTAGCTTTCTTCTCTCTCTCATAGTCTTGTGTTTCACATATCTGAAAGTGCTGAAGGTGGCACGCTTTCACTGTAAAAGGATTGACGTGATTACTATGCAGACCCTTGTGCTCCTTGTGGACATCCATCCTAGGTAAGGAGATGCCTTCATCTTTTACTAACAAGATCACACACTACTATTTTGTTGGACAAAATTATTGTCTGTCTGATTCCAATTATTTTAAAATGCAGCTCTTCCCTGATTTTCTTCTGCATGTTTCTATTCCCAGATTGCACTGTAGCTATAAAATTTATTGCCAATAATATTTTGAAAATGCGTTAGGGGTGTTAGGGGTGTTTGGCAGAGAAAGAAAACTCATCTAGGAATGTGTTTTGAAGGCTGTTTTGGAACCCCAGAGTTTACATATGAATGCATTTCCTTTAGAGTAGTGCATTTCAACAATTTTGCTAGTAAATGAATAGATCCATGTCTGTTCATTAATGTTAATCAGTGTTATTCATATATGCTGTATGAACAACATCAAATTGAGATTTCTGGTAGCCCTTAAGATATGTCAGTGGGAAATAGCATACTACATGCCATTCTGGTTTTTGTTTTGTTTTGTTTTTATGCATTTTGGAATGTCACTGTAAAGTCAATAACTTTCCTTGAAGGAAGGATGCCCAGAGAAATATTTATTCCAAAAATAAACACAAGCAACCAACTAGTACAAATGCATCAAAAATAGCATTAAGATTCAAATTTATACTGACAACTAAAGAAAGTTAAGTGTACTCAAGAGTCCTTAAATCAACCCACATTTTCTATGCACAGTAAGATGAATCTCAAGCTAGAGGTGAAAGAAGGAATTGTTATGATAAGAAAGCATAAACAGTGGGAAGCTAAAAACTTGAGAATGAGGAAATATAACTAGAAGATCTGTGAAATAGAGACTTACAAAGAAGAAGTAAGGGGATTCAGTGGGAAAACTGATCTAATTATCTTAGTTGAACTAGATTTTGCTGGAGGGAGATGAAGAAATATTTCAAGGGGCAAAATCACAGAGCAATCTGTTTAGTTTACTGACAATTCAGAGTATTTGTGTGTTATGTGTAGAGCTGTGTGTGTGGGAGGGATCATCATAAAAAAGAAACGTGGTGGATAATATAAAAACTGACTGTAAAGATGTCACTGGAAAAAATAAATAAAGGTGAACACAAGGTGCAATTATCATATATGAATAAATGAAGTAGAAGTAATGTACTCTAGTAGCTTGTCACCTCTAACAAGAAAAAATAATTTGGGATTATTAAAACTATAATGATATTAATAATACAGAATATAAAGAAATAATAGATAACTATGCAAAGAAAAGAATAAGGAGTAATATCATGCATTTTTACAATGGGTCTCTACTTTTAGGGGAGTGGTAAGAAGATTTTGAATTCTGAGACCATGCTGTGGGTGTTCTCACAAAATGGCTGCTTGGGAACTTTTCTATTAATAAAATGGTGGTCATTGGGGCATTTGTATATTTCACTCTTAGTTTTAATAGTATTAATTTTAAACCCCAATTGTTATATATTTATATTATGGTTGTTACACAGGCATTATCTTATTGTATTATTATTCGCCACCCTGAGTTGCCTTTGTGAAATCGGCAACTATATAAGCCTAATAAATAAAATAATAAATAAATAAATAACCAATCAGAAAACACTAACTTATTAGAATGCCAAACATCCTAATCCCATCTCTTACAATGTTCCTAAAGGGCTTGCCCTTTTATTGGGCAATTGGGAATACTTAAAGCATAGAGTCACTGTTGCCATTCTTTCTTATTTTCTAAGACAAAATTGAAGCAATCCATAGGGGAAGAAAATTGTGCTGAAGTTCTATGCTTTATTATTAGTTGAGAATCCCATTTTTAAAATTAAGGGTACTGAAAGATTTTTTTTTTAAATGATATATAGAACTAGAAACTGAGGGGTTGCCAAAGTAAGTGGCATATAAACTGACTAACTGAACAAACGAACAAACAAATGAACAAACAAACAAATAAACAAACAAACAAATCATCCCCTCCCCCAAAAAACCTTCAGCCCTAGGCTAGAATGAGACAGGAAGTAAAGGTCTATCATTACTATGGGAGTCGGTGAGAAATGAAATTCAGACTAATGCCCAATCCATTGCTTGACATCTTAAGATCACTTAAAATCAAGGTACACAAACTACTAGGAAGTTTAAATGTCCCAATATACATTTATATTTAAAAATAACACAGGACTGTAATTTAGACCAAGGTTGCAGCATTCATGGAAGTGAACCCATTCCAATGGCAGCATTCTATAAAACACTATAATTTAGTAACCTAGATTCCTGAGACAACTTTAAGAAGTCTCATATATATCACAACTAGTTCATTTTGAATCATTTTGAGGCAAATTATTTTGAATGCTTTTTCAGAGGAAAATGAAATTTCAGTAAAATGGAATGAAAATTATGTGAATTGGGAACAAGGAAATTATTTTATAGAAGAATTCTAACACAATGTAAAACACGTGATAGAAATTTAGAAAGCAAGTAGTACAGTGGTGGGATTCAAATATGTGAATAACCAGTTCTCTGTGTGGATCCCACTTCCGCAAGTCCATTCTGGCCTGGGCAACAAAAAATTAGCTACCGGTTCTGTTTAAGTCAGTGGTTCTCAACTTGTGGGTCGGGACCCCATTTGGGGTCGAACGACCATTTCACGGGGGTCGCCAAACAACGCAGTCTGCCATTTTTTTCCCCTTTTCCTTAGCTGTGCTACTCCCTTTTATTCTATTGGCTTCTGAAAGCCAATAGAATAGATTCTCTTGAATAGAGTCTAATTCTATTGGCTTTCAAAAGCCAATAGGAATTGTCCAGGCTGTCTCTGCCCTGCTGAGCCCGCCAAAAGTCCCATTCTGCAAACGGTGCTGAGTTGAGTAGTCCTCGACTTACGATAGGTTAAGTAGTCCTCGACTTACGACCGGCTGGGGGTCACGGCATTAAAAAGGTTGAGAACCACTGGTCTAAGTGGTGAGAAGTGGCTGAATCCCACCACTGAAGTAGTACTAGAAATCCATTTGGTTACAAAAGGTTGCATAAAGGGGACATGTATTTCTATCAGAAGTCAAAGTATTATGGGATAAGCACTTTAATTGATGCAGAGTCTCGTCATCATCAGACACCATGCCTGATATTGATTTGAAAGTGGGGTATTCCCTTTATTTCTAAAGTGACAATGTGCTTTTGGACAAATTATAAAACGGAGTATTAGAAATCCAGTACAAATCCAAGATCTGAAACCAATTTCATAAACACCAAAAGGGCCTTTTATTACTGTAGTTAGAATGAATATTAAAATTAAAATTAAACATTAAGTTAAATATTTTTCCTATATGTCCTTAGTTTGGGCTGTTAATTAAGATGAGAGAGAGATTAGTATGTAATATGTAATATTTGATATTTGATTCTATTTGAAAATATGTCTGGGTTGTTTGTGATTAATCAGTGTTTAAATATAAGTGAATAATTCAGAAGTAAAAGAACTACACTCTGGAAGATATATATATATATATATATATATATATATATATATATATATATATATATATATATATATATATATTTAAATATCAGTGTCAGTCAACTGATCTCAAAGTTATAGTGATTCTACAACTAAGATAACTTCCAGGAACCACCGCTATTTCCCATAACTATTATCAATTGCATTCCTTTGTATTTCTTTTTTCCTTCATACTTTACAATTCATGAGATAAAGCTTCCTTCTGAATGTGATGCTTATTACAGAAATATGGATTATATTTGGGCATTTGAAGGAATGGTGCTAAATAACCAAATCAACACTTCTCGATGTGCTATATAGCAAGTTATAAAGTCACATGGGACTTCTATTAGTGACTAAAAGAGCTCAGAATGGCACTTGTACTATTTTAAGTAGGAAGGGAGAATCTCTGGTGTTTCACACTTGAATGATTAAAGATCTACCTCTAATTGTAAAAGAAGTGGAATGTCCATGTATCTTTTGAGGATGCTTTAAAACTTCTAATTTGTTAATTTTTGTGAAGGATTTACAGAGAAATTGAAACCCTCTAAAGCAAAGGTGGACAACTCCTTGCTGCATCACTGTTTGTTTTCACATACAGCTGACTTAAAACAGTTAAATTTTAATTTGCCTCAACAATTGACAGCACTTAGCTAACATTAATTAATTTCAGAACCTAAACAGGGTCAGCCCCGGTGAGTACTTGGATAAAGGTGGTTAAATACGAATCAGATGGATTCATAGCTAGCTCAGATGGATTCGTAGCTGGCTGACCAGCCATACTCAGTATCTGGTCCTCAATGGAACTGCATCTATATGTAGGGAAGTGTGTAGTGGAGTGTCCCAGGGCTATGTTCTTGGCCCAATGCTCTTCAACATCTTCATCAATGATTTGGATGAGGCGATAGATAGGGAACTCATCAAATTTGCAGAAGACACCAAGCTGGCAGGAATAGCCAGAAGATAAGCTTAAGATACAGAAGGATCTTGACAGACTGGAACATTGGGCGCTATCTAACAAAATGAAATTCAATGGTGAAAAAAGTAAGATCCTACATTTAGGCAAGAAAAATCAAATACATAAGTACAATATAGGTGGTACCTTGCTCAATATTAGTAACTGTGAGAGGGATCTCAGAGTCCTAGTGGACAATCACTTAAATATGAGCTAGAGTGTGCTGCAGCTGCCAAAAAAGCCAACACAGTATTAGGCTCTATTAACAGAGGGATAGAATCAAGATCACGTGAAGTGTTAATACCACTTTATAACACCTTGGCAAGGCCACATTTGGAATACTGCATCCAGTTTGGTCACCACAATGTAAAAAAGATGTTGAAAGTCTAGAAAGAGTACAGAGAAGAGCAACAAAGATGATTACTGGAGGCTAAAACATATAAAAAATGGTTGCTGGAATTGGGTATGTCTAGTTTAATGAAGAGAAGGACGAGAGGGTACATGTTAGCAGGGGTTGCCACAAAGAAAAGGGAGTCAAGCTATTCTCCAAAGCACCTAAAGGCAGGACAAGAAGCAATGGATGGAAATTATCAAGGAAAGAAGCAA